CCTTTCCTCGTTGCCTGAGTCTGTCAGACGTGTTTTGGCTCCTCGCATTCCTCAGTGTTCAATTTGTTTTTTCTCAAATTAATTAAGAATTTTTACATCATAATTGTCTTAAATCATAATGGCCTGAACCATCATTAAAATGTTAGACTTACAAATAAATTATTTTAAAAAAAGAGAGACATTCACCCAGCGAAAATAAGAAACAAACTTTGTAACGACAAAATTATAGTTCATTACACAAAGAAATCTCATCAATTAGATCATCAGGTCCAACATACTACCGGAAATTAAAATTCTACTTCTCTGAATTGTCTTCAAGAGCAAATTGATTATTTTTAGACGAACATCGACGTCTTTCTACTCCATTTTTGTTTACTTTTAGAAAAATCGGCATGAAACAATGTAAATGTTATAATTTGAATATATTTATTGAGTAATATATGAGAAATACATCTACCATCTCAATTCGACCTACCAAAAAATGTATCGAAACCACATTCGGAAGCGATGCTTTATTCTTTTTGGTTTTCTATACTTTATGTTATATCTTGAATTGTAGAACGTTGAATACATATAGTAGTTGTAGAGAGAGTAGAGCGAGAGAGAGAGAGAGAGAGAGAGAGAGNTGTGTGTGTGTGTGTGTGTGTGTGTGTGTGTGTGTGTGTGTGTGTGTGTGTGTGTGTGTGTGTGTGTGTGTGTGTACTACATAATAAACCATATTTTCTCTGTAGTTCTTTATTATTATTATTTGGTTGATCGAGTTGATGATACAAAGCATTTGACCTGCCCGAAGAAATGCTGTTAACTTCGTTATTTTGGCGTAGAAAATGTTTGAAATTCGTCACTTTTTAAAATTATATTTATATTATAGAAGACGTAGAAATAATATTTAGTTGTTCGCATTAAAAATTATGTTTGGGCAGATGGAAACATACCTTAGGACATTGTGATGAATGTTTTGGAGAATGATCCTGGTCAAAGTATTGCCTTAACAATAACAATGTTATTTGCCGTGTTTATGAAATTCGCTACTTTTTATGTTATATTCACACAATAAAAGACATATAAACTTTGTGTATATAAAATTATGTTAGGGCAGATGAAAACATCTGTACGTTATAACGTCAGTCTTTTTATTGATCCTGGCCGAAGTTACGTCATTAACTCTTTTATTTGAATGTGGTTTCATTGAAAATGTACTTTTGTCTAATTTAACTTGACTCAGTTGAATAAGAAGAAATAATCCTTGGGTTTATTATGTTAAAATCACGGTTGAACTGATTGGAAAATGCAGTTTTGTCGTTTCCTGCCATTTTGGTTTGTCAGGAACGTTTCATTGGTGGATTAAAGAAGCTAAAACTCGTTCAACAAACAAAAATAGCGAGTATATGCAGACCAAAATGGTCGAAAACGATAAAACTACAGGGTCTTCTCGCAGACCCAGAGAGAAAATCACTATTTTGGAATTTTGAAGCTGAGAGCAAGTTATAGCCGGGTTGATTACTCCCAAATTCCCATTGGATTTTTTTTGCACTCCAGAATTTTGTAAATTAGAGGGGGCGATACAGTTAAAATTAACCCTGTTTATGTAATTTTTCACCCATGGCCTCACAGCAGAAAGAAAACAACAAAACTCGCCTTGTTTTCTATTTTATCCACCTTCGGATAATGTCAACAATCTGTTTGTTGTTGTTCCTGTTCGGAAAAATTTGGACTGCCGGAGGCCTGTGAATGGGCCGGGATGCCACAGATCTGGATCGCAAGCGTGAGAAATACCCCACTAGATAGCGCCCAAGAAAAAAAACACATGTCCACCGGAAGTCGAACCTTGAATAGGAATGTTATGCTTTCGAAATTCATCCTGACGGTCAAAAGCCGAAGTGGCTTTCGAATTTTCCCCAGAGGGGCGGCGAAATTCGACTCCCTCCTTGACACGTAGCCGCCCCTGACTGGGTCGTCGCAGGCAGGTGGCACATCGGTTTTGCAGAACATCTTGAGCCCATTATAAAAAATTGCCCAACCTTTTGGGCACGTGACCCGAGTGATTATTTATAAATTGGGAGGAATTATCCCTTTTTTTATATTTCCTTCGGGCTAAGTTGAAACCCCTCATTACAAACTATTAATTACAAAAACTATTTCCTATGGGAACTCGTGATCTGATGAAACCGTGTTAGTTGAACGAGAAAAATCGTATAGCTATACCAATAAAAACTGATACATTTAATAATCTATACAATTTTTTACGAAATCATTGCGCAAGATCATTAACAAATTTAACATTAAAGTTGACATGCATTTCTTCCACATAAATCTTTGCAGTTACATTAGACTTGAAAGACCAATTTCTAACTTCTTTAAATATCTTTGGAATATTTTCATGCAAACGGTATAATTTTATAAATCCGAGGTTCAAATAGAACGTTGATGGTATCGCAAGTTCGTTATCAGTAGCTGTTCAAGACGATAGCGTTTATTCATGACAGAATCATTCCAACCCTTTTGGTTGATTCAGGTGGTGAAACATTCCATCATTTCCGACAGAAGAGGCGTAATTCATCAACGATTATTACGCAGTTAGTAGATCTCCCATTGATGTATAGACATTAAGCTAACGAAAATATTTTAATAGACATAAATAAGTATAACCACGATATTTTAAAATAATTGTATTTTCCGTCAAATACTTCAATTTCTGTGTTCATAGTTAATCCAATAATACAAAGTAGAATTCGAACGGACAGAACTACAAAAATCCTAGGTCAGTCTTTTTTTTACGTTCGGATCCTAGAAAGATGGTTCCTCCCCTCGCCTCGTGGCGACCAAATAGTTTTGAATATCATTACAGTACCAGGTGCAGGTACATAATAAACCACCCGTTCTGTGGACCAAACTCCCAACCCAACGGAAAAGATACAGAAATGTGTATTTTTAAAAATCCATTATAACCTGATCTTGCACGATTTCTTTAGAAGCCATTAAGGAAAAAGTAGTAACATACATATCTATTTTTTTTTTAAACATGTTAGATTTTCAGCATGGCTGCTTTAATCAAACACAAACAGAACAAATGCTTTGGGACACTAAAAGTATGAGTTTTGATTTGTTTCTTTAAAACAACCAGAGAAGAATAACTATTATCGTTCTTTAAACATTTGCATCCGATGCTTATCGAAATATTTTATTCCTTTTCTCGATACCGACGTCAGGCGGAAGTTTGTTGTAGTCGGTATCTTTTTAGCATCCGGTTGTTACTACAACGCCCGTATGGCATTGAGCCAGAAAACGACTTACTAAAGACAGCGAGAATAAGCGGACCAAAGTGAACAATTATAGTTTTTGTGGTCGGTTTTTCTGATTTTTGGTATGCTACATCGCTGTTTTGGTCTGTCATACATATTCAACGCCTTGTTCTTAAGCATTGTTAGAGAATTGAATTAACAAATAAATTAATTACTAATTACTGATTTACATAAACTCATTCTGCAGATGCGTGTACGTACATACAAACGTCTACAGATTCACCCAATCTGGTTTTATGCCCGGGAAGTTAAATTCCAAGAACTGTCAACAGGGTAATTTCATCCCCCAATGCATAGTTTTAAAATCTAAACCAGCTCACTCTTAAAGACTTTCCTATTTAAATGCATAAGTCTTTTTGTTTTCTTGAAATGAAAATTTAATTGTTTTACTTAATTCAATAAAACAAGAAGGTCCATTTGTATACATTGAGAGTGAGTGTATTTATTAAAGTGAGTGGTTAGTGTGAGAAGGAAAGTACTCCACCACCCTACTTAAGTGAATGGTGTGTAAATAGGAAAGAATGTATTTAAGAATTAATGAGAGTATGAGTGTGCCTAGGTTTAAAAACTGCATGGGGCTAAAATGATTTAACTCTGGAGCTGCCTGATTAACATGGAGGTGATCGGTATGAGATACAGGCACATATGCAATACCAGTATGAGATACAAAAAGTACCCAGGTGCCTCTCCTCACAACTAGATTCATCGCCTCTCCTCCATCTCTTCTCGATCCTCTCCCAAGCAGTATAAAAACCTAGATGTTTGATTGTCATATTTTTATAATGGGCAAGTTAGAAGATGTAGCTCTTTGGGATTTAAGTAGACGAAAAACAACTAAAAGTAGAGTAGTATGGGTTCACCCACCCACATTTTGCCTCGCATTTTCTTTTCTAACTTTATCCGCATAATCGTGGTCACTGTTGTTCCGAAGCATGGGATATGTTTGAACCAATGAAATTCATTCATCATAATCAAAAATTATTCAGAAATTGTGAGATGCTGTCTGGTTATGTAGGTGTCAGAAGAATATTTTCTTTATCATGCCAATGTTTCGATCTTTATTGAGATCATCTTCAGTGCCTGGGATTTACAAACATTGTTTAAATTTAACAAATACATGTAGCATGTGGAAAAAAAGTTAATTTATACAATACAAAAAAATATTTTTTTATATTCATTCAAAGTATTTCTACTCATTCAAAATGTTTGTTTTCTGTCCAGTCAATGGCACTCTCAACCCGACATGCAATAATGGCACAATTATGCAGAAAATAAACCCCATTCTTGCGTGTCATGTCGAGAGTGCCACCCCCACCCCTTCAAAATCCAACGTATATAAACACAAAATAGCAAAATCTCACTGGCACTCTCATTACAACACGCAAAAATGGCACAATTACACAGAAGACAAACACTTTGAGTGAGTAGAAATACTTTGATTGAATATATAAAAAAATATATTTTGCATTGTATAAATTCACTTTTCCACATCCAAAATGTAATTTTTATATGTAAACAATCTTTGTAAATCCCAGGCCCTGAAGATGATCTCAATAAAGATCGAAACGTTGGCACGATAAAGAAAATGTTTTTCTGAAACCTACATCACACCAGACCGCATCTCATGATTTCTAAATAAATATCGATTAACGGTCACTAATCACCACAAATGAGATTAATAATATTTTTTATTTGCAGGGTCTCCAGCCGGAACTAGTGGTAGCGTAGGGGATGAGGGTGTTGGGACTGAAAAGAGGCGAGGCAAGTGCAAGTGGTTCAACGTAGCCAAGGGATGGGGATTCATCACACCCGACGATGGAGGCCAAGACATATTTGTCCATCAGGTATTTAAGCCAAATATAAATTTCAAGCAAATATAACGTTACATTTTATTTTTCAGAGTGTCATCCAAATGACAGGTTTCCGCTCTCTTGGAGATGATGAAGAAGTCGAGTTTGAGTGTAAAGCTTCAGACAAGGGTCTCGAGGCGACACTAGTGTCAGGTCCTGAAGGAGCAGATTGTGCGGGGTCACACAGGAGGCCCCAAGCTAAAAAGAGATTCAGGAAAATTAGGTAAACACCGATTGAAAATTAATATGAAAATTAATTTTACTGTTTTAGTTAGCTTACCAAATTTTCAAATTGTACTCAGCACACATTCCATCAGACATATTTTTACCTGATATATGTTTAGTGAACAGATAATCCGATTAAAAAATGATTTTAACGATTCAATTTGTAAATAAGGTGCTATAATTGTGGGGAGTTTGCCAACCATATCGCTGCCAAGTGTAGCCTTGGTCCACAGCCAAAGAGATGTCATCACTGCAAATCCGAGGACCATCTTATAGCCGATTGTCCGACGAGAAAGAGATCAACAGGTTCGACTAACGGTGGTACGACGACTGCTGGCACGAGTGATGAAACGTCAAATGGAGCTTCAGAGCAGGTGAGTGCTGCGATGGCTTCATTATCTCTGAACAATGGCCAGCAGGGCAGTGAATCTCAACAACAAAACTAGGTAAATTGTTTAGCAGTGTTCTGACAGTATTTGTTAATTATTTAAATAAATGATTTTTTTTATAGCTACCTAACAAAGTGGTATCTGCTGACTTGTCACAGATACCGTTTAGAAGCATCTGAACATTGAACAAATTACCATTACACTCAACAGTTTGTTCAATTATTCAAGGTTTTAGTTTATGTTCTATGTTTACAAGCTTCTAAATTTATTAAGTAGCTACTCCATGAAAGACTTTATGAGTGCCTTAGTTAATATTACAAGTTGCTCAATTAGCACAAATTAAAGTCTAACAATGAACTTTACTAGTAATTGAAGGAGAAATTACTTGGAGAAATTTTATTTTACACAGGAGAATACATCTTAACGTGAGGTATTACATCATTTAAATAGGTGCAATTACATAAAGGAGTTTCAAAATACATATTTCGGCGTCTATACTACACAAATGTTTAACCGAATTATATTAACAACAAAGAGCTGTGAATGTACAGTTACAAAATGAATCAAAAATGTTTATAAAGTATTTATTATGGATCTTAAATGTCACAGTGTTACTCCTAATCTGTGACTATAATTAACAGGTGGAACAATTGTACAAAAAAAAATGTATTTATTATTATTAGGCAAAAATTATGTTATTAGATAAAATTCTGCAATGAAACTCCATGTTGGTTGTTAATTTCAAAATGATTGGATGTTTCAGTTAACTGATATAAAGAGTACAATGTTAAAATAGATAAAATTTTGAGTAATTTGACTCACATTATTGAATCTCCTGAACAGAATAACCATGAATTCTCCTAATTATTATAGTCCAAATAGTTGAATTTATTATTTTATGTTTTTTTTTTTTTCAATTTTTTGGGAAAGAAAATTTATTCTCAGTAAAAATTTTAGTGTATAAATTTTAATATTTTAAAATAATGCTACTAGTTTGATAGAATATCCAAAGAATTTTTATTTTAACTAGGTATATTGACAAACAAATCTATTCATAATTTTATTGTGTTTGTTTTATTTTTTTATTTTTATAATGTTTAAAGTATAAACCAAGGTTCCTTAAACCTATTGTTTTCTCTTTTAATATTTTTCTAAGTTGCCTTTTTTAATTTTTTCCTTTTTTTATTATTCTTTAACGCATTATACCTAGTTTAAACTGCGTTATTTTATGTACTTAATTCTTTAAAAATAATTTTTATAAAATTAACACACTACATATTATTGCACATTTTCGATTGAATGACACGTATAATTTAAAATCATATCAATTACAACAATTATCGTTCATCTGTTTGTGCAGTAATATCTACTGTGTTATTTTCTCTACAAAACTTGTTTAATTTGTTCTTAAAGTAAGGAAAGTATTACCATTATCTACCTCATACAACCTTAACTACCTCAAGTTCTAGAATAATTTTAGGTCTCAAGAAAATATTTTCTTGGTGAGCTGAAGAACTGACCTCCTACAAATGTAACATACAAGACTGCGCTAGTACAATTGTATTTTTAAAAGTTTACAATTATAGGCTTTAAGGGTTTTTAATCATCTAGGTTTTTTTTTGTTCTTATTGTATAATTAATTTTGTTTTCGCTCAACATTCATTCCATTATACATGTACTTTTTATTTTCTAGCTTTACTAGCTACATAATGTTGTTAATTTGTAAATATGCCATTTGTGTTCTATTAAAAGTTTTTTTAAAGACACAAATTGTGAATTGTTAATAATTCATTCAGGCACTAATATAATGTATACATGTTGAGGTGTACTTTTGTAGTGAGCATGGCTCATAACATTGCAATAATTTTCTTTCAATTTCTCAACAAGCAAGAAAATGCAATTTTTGATTTGATAAAAGTATAAACAGTTTAAAAAAAATTGTTTTTTGTTTTATTAATACCACTAGTATCTTCCCATATCTTCACAAGTTTCATTTTTCCTGGTATTCCTGGCTAACATTTAACAAATCTGTAATTAATCACAAATAACATACTTTTTAACATTTTTAGTACTATCGTCATTATTATTCTCATTGATCCCTGACTACCAAAGGTTTCTGGTTTCTCATAGAAATTGAGTTAAAATTATTCCTGTCAACCAGGATTAGCCAACCGATGGCATGCCCCCTTGAAAACGATTAATGGCATTGGAATTTTGTTTTACTCTGTGATATGACTGCTCATCTAAACTTGTTGAACACTCGTTTGCAAGAGGAATCTTTTTTTCATTTACCAATATTGACTCATGTTGCATGACAAAAGCTTTTGTGTCAGATTTGTCTGAAAATTGACTGCCTCATTTCCTGGATGATGATCCTGACTATCAAACATACAAAATCAAATTTTCATCTGTACTTCAATCCTCCAAAACCAGATTAGCTGTATTTAACGTAGAAAAATGTTAGACATTAAAAGATTAACTGGAAAATGAGGTATCGGAAGTTGAAAACGTTGGCTAAATGCATTTTACCTTCAATCCCTCAATTCATTACCATAAAAATTATTTATTTTCACGTTGTTTTTATGCATAAAAATAGAAAAAACAAGTTTGTATTGTAAACAATAAAAATGTGAAATTTCATGCAATGCTGAAACTTGCCATGTTTTGCAAAATAGGCGTAGTGTTTAAAAAAAAAAAAAAAAAAAAAAAAAAAACATCCTTTCCATGATTTAAATTTTTGTCTTGGTTTCATTGCAATCGAATTTAGCAATAAAAAGATACAATTGCATGGGAATCTGGCCTTACTCATGTTAAACTTTAATATTATGTTACAATTGTTTTCTGATTCATTGAATTTCATAAAATAAACAGACACCTACCAAAATTTAACATTATGATTCTTGAATTATGTATGTCTGACTTCTTGCATTAAAAATATGTTGGTCAATGTTTGTAAACTGATTTTTTAAGTTGAGTGGGGAAAACGGTGATCGGGGTCTGTAAACTGTCAGATAAATTTTCTTATTTCAACTGCAGTTACTAGTTTAAATTTTTAAAGGTTTTTCAATAATTTAATTTGTCTTATTTTAGAAATATAAAACATCTTTGGCAGTTAATCTAAGAATTTCAAAAGACACCACCAACAATCATGGCAACAAGTATCTAGTGTACATATAATTTGTGTATCGCTATCGGACAGGTAGGGTACAAAGGGGCCTAACTTGAGCACAATATGCCCTTTCCTCGCTAAAACTATCTTCCAAGGAGAATTTCTAGTCATAGAAACATGTTGACATGAAATAAATAACAAATGTCACAAGGGTGCAACGATTTCAATACCATCAGCTACAGCTCTGAAGGGTTTCCAAATGGATGAGATTAACTAAAAATTACAATTAATTAAGGTTTTTAGTTGAGATAAAAAAGTCAATGGCATGAGCGGGATTCGAACCCTCGATCTTCGGCTAGATACGCCGCTCCTCTACCACTTGAGCTATCGTGACCTCGATCCACTCAGACACCAACTTCCCATATCTCGACCCCACCTTTTGAATTTTCCCTCCTTTTTGCCATTTTTCATCTGGAGGGAAAATTTAAAAGGTGGGGTTGAGATGGGAAGTTGATGTCCGAGTGGATCGAGGTCACGATAACTCAGTGGTAGAGCAGCGGCGTATCTAGCTGAAGATCGTGGGTTCGAATCCCGCTCGTGCCATTGACTTTTTTATCTTAACTAAAAACCTTAATTAATTGTAATATATTAATTGGTCAAGCGGACCACGAAATTAACTAAAAACTTGTCTGGAACTGCTCAAATACCCAAAAAACTGGAACCTACAATTAGCTAACACTATGGTGGTGTTCATGAGAGTACTTTAGGCATAAAGGCAAAAAATAGATGTAAAGATTTACTTGTATCTACAATGTGTGGTATTTAGTGATTATTAATTACTGATTATTTAGATATCATGAGCTGCGGTCCTGTATGAATTAGGTTTAGAAAAACATTTTCTTTATCGTGCCAATGTTTTGATCTTTATTGAGATCATCTTCAGGGCTCAAAGTGGTTTTTTTCTGTGCAGATGTGTCATTACTGTGTCGTGTTGAGAGTTCCCAGAATGTACTATAGCAACATTAACATTTTCACTATGGAAGATGCTACAGAGGCATCATCAGTGAGTTGTTTCACCATGTAGATGACACTATGGTGGCAGTCTTAATTAGGCAGGTCTTAATTTTATAAAATCTCTTAAAAAATTCCCCGATAAATCAAACAAAAAAGGTGCTTCAGTTAACTTGTTAAAAAATAATTGGAATTTTTGGTAACAAATGAACATTTAGAGTGTATACCAGGCCAACAAAAAGTGCAAAAATACCCATGAGGTGTTGTGGCCACAACGGTTTAGGTATTGGCACGGCGCTCATCCCTGTAAGGTACGTACAGGTCCCGAGTTCGAATCCAGTTGCTCTTCATACATACCTGATATAACCTTGTAGTTAAAAAAAAAATAAAATGGAAAAAGAGGAAATTCTACTCAACAGAAAGAAAACAATTAAAACTAACAGGTATATTTACAGATTCTCCAGGTAAAATAACCTATTAAAAAATGGGACTATCAACAGACCCAATTGCCAACCATAGTAAAAGGCCATGATACTTCTGTGCAATATAGGCCAAGATTCTGTACAGCTGAGAAGAATTCAGTACTTCATTAAAGAAACAAAAATCTCATAGAAAATCCATTAACAAATAGCACAACAGATAAAAATTTAAGTGGTAAAAGGGGGGTCCTTCAACTACATATTGTTAAAAAAATTATAAAATTTAAAAGCAGTTTTCATACAGTATGTTTAAAATCAAATGTGTATTTTATTCCCCCCCCCAGTAGTTAAAATTCACCTATGAAAGGTAATTATGGAACATTAGCAACAACCTTAACTGCATCAGACCTTTGTCTCCTGGTGAAACGTCAGATAAGTGGAGACGTTTTTTTAACTTTTCCTTGAAAAATGTTGGCTATCATTTTGAGGCTTTAATGGTTGTAAATTACGATTTGGTGACAAACCATCATACTTAGTCGACATTGATGGTTTATCGTCTAATCCATGAGACGACTGCACGGACTTAATAGAAGTATTAGATAATTGAGAAGAAAGTGCACTGCCAGCAATTGGAGCACTAGGTTCATTGGGACGAGTTGTTAAATCCTGTTCTACATTTCTACTGGATGTTCCATGAAATACATCTTCATATGTTCTCATTTCTTCTTCTTCGCATTCAGCACTATATCTTTTGTACATCGCAATTCGATGTACCAATGATTTATGTAAATCTATAACTCTATCAAAATTATAATTGTAGCCTTTGAACATCGGTAGCGCCTCATCAGGTTCTGATAGTCTAGAGTCAAATTTTTGCATAAATATATCTTCTTCATGTGCTCTAAATTTCTCTATAATATCTGGAATTGAATGTTTTGCTATAGCAATCTTCGGTTGTACTTTAATCAATTCTTCATGAGGTTTATGAATCCTCGGCTGTTTTTTATAACAAGAAACAATTTTTGGTCCAATTAGGACATTTTCCTTTTTGGTAATTGATTCGTCTGATGTCAAGGAAAATAGATCCCGTTCTATTTTATCTCTATCTTCAAAGCTTTCTTCTATCTTCTCCTCTTCATGTAAAGTTTTACTAACTTCAGATATTTTCTTGCCTTCTTCTTCTTCCTTCTCTTCTATATGCTCCTCATCCCACAGTTCTCCTCTAGTCAACGCCTTTTTCTTTCTCTCTCTTATCTCTAATTCTTTCATCCTTCTTAATAATTTCATCCTTTCAAATCTCTTGATCATTGGAGGTGGATCAGAACGAGGCAATAATTTTTTAAATAATGTTTTGTGTGGGGGCATGTAAGACCTGTGAAGGCGACTAACAGTGAGGACAATTCTTCTTTCTCGCCTCTTTGCCTCAAGAGCTGCGTATGTTTCTGCTTTTGTCCTGTTTTTAATTTTCTCTTCATATTCTTCATACAAATATCTTGGCATTTCATGTGCTTCTTTCCAAACATTAACTATTTCTGTTTCCACTCTTTCCATCATTTCTACATATGATAATTTTGTTTCTTCTTCACCAATGATTTCGTCATACATATTATGTACCAAACCTTGTGTCTCTAGAATGTGGTCAGCACTAACAACATCTTTGTACACAGTCTGAGTCAGCTGTCTAGCTATGGCTTCAAGTTCCAAAGAGCGTTCTTTTTGGTATAATATCCCTGCTTCTAAATCCTTGATCTTTTCTTGTAAACACATAAATTCAATTTTGTAGTATTCTTTCACATGTTTTAAAAGGCCTTTCAAATCTTTTTGTATGTGTCCAACATCAGCTAAGTGCTTGGCTGCATGTAAATTCTGCAATTCAAATTCTTTAAAAACCATATCTACTTCCCATGGGTGTTGGAAATAAATAGCTGGTGGACCCAGATTTACTATGTCTGTAATGAGGTCATTAACAAGCTTATCCAAAAACTTATCCTCTTCTGGAGTATAATTTAAAAACTCTTGATAATGCTCAAACACATCTTCTGCCATTTCTTGTGCTTTAGGTTTATACGCTTCTTTAGATCTTTCGAATTCTTCTTGCCAATGTGTTGGGCTTATGTTATAAATAGCTTCCTTGCAGTATTTCCGGTAAGTGAGCTGTTCTTCCATCTTGTAAAGTGTGCATTTAATAGCATTCAGATAGCCACTTGAGCGTTTCACCTCTTGCGTTTTCTCATCTTTTAAATGCGCAATTTGCTGAGACTCTTCGATAATTTTAACAGATTCCTGGTGATCATCTGTCAGATAATTTTCAAACGATTGTATGATTTTGTCAAGCTCTTCTCGGATGGTGTAGAGACGCCATAAATCCCGAATATGATGCTCCTCTTGCTTTTTAATTTCATCTTCTAAAAACCCAGCACAAAGTTTCTTGAAGAAACACCTCCTGTGATTAACAGCGAAATGTCGCTTGTCGAACTTTTCTTTAATTGGGCGCCCTTTGACCAAAGAAAAATATTCTGAATTATTGTCAAGTTTGGATGGGGGAATGACTATATTTTTATCCGGGATATGTACTCTGTTGAGAATGTCATTTTTCTTGTAATCATTTCTGTACGCATGTTTCGGCCGGTTTTGTGCAATCCTTGGCGGCTTGAAGGAAATGTTGCTCAAAAAATTCTGGGAGTTGTCAATACCAAATGGGCATGGCTCTTTTGAAAGATCACGGAAATTTGAAATCGGTCTACCCGTGGTAAAATATTTGACTGTTGAAAAATTGCTGTTTCTTGTGTGCTGTATAATATCATGTATTGTTGGCACCTTCAACTTTGGCCTTGGTTTTTTTATGTTTAATTGCTTCTTGATATAGGATATCAATTCCTCCTTATGTTCAAGAGCTGAGCAAAGCTTGTCCACCTGGGCCATTTTGGCTGTGGTGTTATCAATCGCATCTTCATCATTCTAAAAATAAAAAAATTAAAAATTAAGATAATGTGGCTTTTATATGAGTACAAAGTAGAAGTAAAAAAGTAAAGAGCATTGGCTATAAGTCATTAAAATCACAATTTGTACAATCTGTGGAGTGAACCAGTAATTAGATTGCGGTTTGAGAATTGGCAGAATAAAATGATCGATAACATTCAAATTGTATGTATCTATAATGTAATGCTCACCAACAAAATATTTAATTTACAGTATAAATTCACTAGTTTCGTGGTCCGCTTGACCAATTAATATCTTACAATTAATTAAGGTTTTCAGTTGAGATAAAAAAGTGTGGTTGAGATGGAAGGTTGGTGTCCGAGTGGATCAAGGTCACGATAGCTCAAGTGGTAGAGCAGCGGCGTATCAAGCCGAAGATTGTGGGTTCGAATCCTGCTCGTGCCATTGACTTTTTTATCTCAACTGAAAACCTTAATTAATTGTAAGATATTAATTGGTCAAATGGACCACGAAACTAGTGAATTTAATAAGTTTAAAATGAAGTATACTTCACTAAAGCTCTCCGTGGCCATTTCCTTTGTCACCGAGAATCAAATTGATTACACGACATTTGAAAAATGGCAAAAGGAGGGAAAATTCAAAAGGTGTGGTTGAGATGGGAGGTTGGTGTCCGAGTGGATTGAGGTCACGATAGCTCAAGTGGTAGAGCAGCGGCGTATCAAGCCGAAGATCGTGGGTTCGAATCCTGCTCGTGCCATTGACTTTATCTCAACTGAAAACCTTAATTAATTGTAAGTTATAATATAAAATCGTTATGTAATTATAAATTGAATACATAATGATAAAATTGAGATATTGCCCTATAACAATAATTTTATTAAATTTTATGCAATTTAAAATGGGAATTTTGTATGCATTTGGCCTTCCGAATTAAGAATTTTAAAAAGAAAAATTAAAGCTTGGATGGCAATAGGATAAATAAGATTACGAGTGAATGTTTGGAGTCAGAGCTTTATAGCACTCAGAAGAGATATAGCTAACCTAAGATAGAAGGTTTGGATGTTAGGGCGTGAAATGACCTTAGCCGTTAAAACGCCCTTAAAAATTAATAATAATAATAATAACAATAATTTTTTACCATTTCTGTTTATAATAAAGTTTTTTTTTTAAACCTCCTCACATCGCCCATTTCAAATTAGAAGACGCAAGAGGTGACACTCCACTAGTTACCTAAATGAATATTACCTTATGTTCAAATACCAGTTACAACGTTTTATATAGCTATGCATTTTGTATAAGATTAATCCATATAACTATTTAGTTGTCATAATTGACTGTATTAATTATTTTAATTATTTATACTTTTTATCTAAGGTCTTGATTGAGCTGAAAAAGCTAGTGTCATGAGCAAGACTCGAACCCATGACCTTCAGCTCAATATCTCGATGGCCACTGAAGTGATATTTTCATTTCAACAAAAACCTTAGATACAAAGTATAATTAAAATAATTAATACGGTCAATTATGACTACTAAATACGTATTTAGTAGTATGTAAGTATGGATTAATGAAATAATTGCAGAAGTGCTTACTTCGCTGACAGCTCCCCATGGCCATTTAATAGGTCACCGAGAATCAAATCTTGATTGCACAATATTTGAAAATATGATAAGAGAAGGGAAATTCTGAAAGGTTGTTGGCTGAGATGAGGAGTTGATGTCCGAGTGGATCAGGGTCCGATGGCTCAGGTGGATGGAGGGGCGTCGTATTGAATTGAACGCCATGGGTTCGAGTCCCGCTCGTGACACTAGCTTTTTCATCTCAACCAAGACCTTAGATAAAAAGTGTAATTAATTCAATTTTATATAAGTTTTAGCAAATTGTCTTTCTAAATATTGAAACAATGGACACACTATAAAAATCAGTCGTAACATTTTTAAAATAAAGTAAATCTAAACATATAAAACAGCTGGGATTACAATTTTTTTTACTAATCTCAAATGCTACAAACCTTGTTAGGTGTAGCAGCCATTTTCTCCTAAAATCTTCTAAACTTACGTCCAACCAACACTTGCAAGTACAATAACAAAAAATAACAACAACCTAAATTTTATATTTGAAAATGTCTTAATTTTCAAAGCATATGGTAAATATATTTCCCAACGCTGAACACATGTATTGCACATATAATATAATAAATATTCCAGTAAGCATTTACACCATGAAATAAACTTATCACTTTAAAACTGAACTTAAAATAATAAGTGATGGCCAATGTTGTGGTTATATGAAATACAACTAACATTCATCTCTTTACATTTCCGAATTGATTAGAAAAACAAATTACACAGGAAGGAAGTCAATAAAGTTGCACAGGTACCTGACAATATTTTCAGGTATAAGGCAATAAACATTAGGACCTCACAAGAAGCTGTTCACAAGCATTTAGAATTTTACAAGCTGTTGACACCTTGCTTCGATTCATTCAAGTACAGTTATTTTTACGACTGTTTCATTTCTGTTCAAAATTTCTGTAGTTTTAAAAGTGTAAGAAACAATTAAAAAAGGTAAAATTGAACTTTTTCATTAATATTTTTTATCAATGCAATGTACAACTAACTCACAGGTACAAAAATATTCTAGATTAAAAAAATACTCCTGTAACAAAGAAACTGCTGAACAATGTACAAACTGACACACAACTAAACTCCAAACAAAATATTTTTTATATTTGAAAAATTTTATAAGTAATTTTAAAATCTAAGTTTCAATATTGTTCAATGTATACTTTGTGCAGATCTACAAAAATGAGTTCAAAAAGGTATGTTTTAACATTGTATTATTTTGACCTTTACTGTTCTTGATTTCTCCACTAATTTTCCTGCTTTAATGTATAGTTATTACAAATTGAATAATTTTGTTTTTATATGGACCAATTTATATTTTTTATTGCAAAATGTATTTTATATTGTATTTTGGGCATCTACCCCTTTAAATAAATACTGTACATCATTCTTTACAAAATTTATTTATAATTAAACAAGCTATACAAGAAAAATCTTCTCTCAACATTTATAGCCTTTTACCAGTTAATTGTTCTGAAAACCTGTTTTAGAATGCAATTGAAGAACGATAGTTATAAAAAGTCAACCTAACCTGTACATACATATATTTTCATCTTACACTTAGCATCTTAATATATTTTCCTTATAATCTATTTTGGGTAGATGTATTGTTCTTCCACGACGCAGAATAAGAAACTATGTGAAACCTTTTCGAAAAACTTTGTGAAATCAATGTCTGTGGAGTAATTGAACTCTCTTTTTAAATTATCTGGTTTATTACATTCAAATGGTCCACTGTTCAAAAAACTTTTCGGAAGACAGCTTGGTTGTTGTAAACTTTTCTTTAATGCCGTAGTATTAAAGTTAATGGCAGATGCTGAACCGACACTGGGACCTGCGGGTTTTGATGTACTCAAACGCATTTCAGCTTTTGAGTTCAGTGAGGAACTGCAAATGACCCCATTCCATTTCAATAATTGTCATTTATATTAAGATCCTAATGATTAAAAATATCTTAGACTCCACAAAAACAGATAAAGTCAACAATCAACCAGAAATCATGTTGTTCATTTTCAAACAAACGGTAAGGATTTACAACCACCAGAGAGCTGAAAGTGCAAAGATTTTCCATCATCAAATAATTATTTAGAGATCGTGAGATGCCGTTGGTGTGATATGGGTTTAGAAAAACATTTTCTTTATCGTGCCAACGTTTCGGTCTTTATTGAGATCATCTTCGGAGCCTGGTATTTATAAATTATACAATTTTTATAAGTACCAGGCCCTGAAGATGATCTAAATAAAGATAGAAATGTTGGCACGATGTGGAGAATGTTTTTCTAAAACCGCATCACACCAGACGCATCTCACGATCTTCGAATAATCATTACTAACGGTCGTTAAACACCACGCACACCTAAATCCAATACCTCATTTAAAGTCAAGTTATTAATGTTTATATCTGTTTAATCTACTTATTTATATTACTGTTAATTTAATAAATTGTCTAATGATATTTTTATCTTTACTGTATATATCATTTTGCCTATTTGTACGTACTACCCACATCAGTGCCGCTGGATTACCTTACAGTGTGAGCAGTGTCAATGCCGTAAGCGGGGAACACGCCCGACACAACGCAACGGGACGTGACCCCTACGCCAGTTCTATGAACAATTTTCCATAATATTGCATTACCCCCATTGCATATTTGCCTGACGTAACGCAACCAAAGTTCCCCACTGGCCAGATTTTCTTTCGAGTAGCGTCAAGTATACTCAAAGACGAAAGAATCCGTCACTCATATTTTTAGAAATGATGAAGGTGGGGTGAGTATGTAGATTCACTTTTTTTACATGATGGTTCTACTCACAAATTTAATTGTACAAATTTAATATATATATATAATAANATATAATAATACAATATTATAATTGTATAACATATAAGTAGGTAAGTATGTTGGATTCGAATGCAGGCCCGCTGGATTCGAACCCGGGACCTTTACCTTACAATGAAGACCGCCATGTCAACGCCTAAACCGTCGCGGCCACCGACGCCCCTCTATTGTTTGTTATTTCAAACTATATATACTTTTGCCATTATATTAATTACAACATGCTTATTTTAACGTAAACCAAATTAAACTAGCTCAAAAATTAATGAGTTTTAATAAAAATTATTAACTGTGATGGTTTGATAAAAAATTATCCAAACACCTGAATACCATTTAGTGATAGAATGAATTTTACTAACAATTTATTACCTGGTTTTGCTCATAATAATGAATTAAAAGTAACTATTTAAAAAATTTAAGAAAGTGCATGTCGAAACGCGTTTGAATAACTAAACACCCACGAGTTGAGACAGACGCAATAAGTAACCAAGTGCCGGTTCAACAGTAATTTAGGTACATTTACAGTGATTATTATTAATTTTTCCAACTTTCCCATTTGATTTGATTTGATTCGATTCATTTGTTAGCTGCCTTTTATCTATCAATAACTTCCTTAATCCCATTAACGTTGATCTCGATTCTGTATAATTCACACCCAAAAACAAAATATCAAATATTTATATAATCTGTCTTTGAGGCTAAAGTATTATCTTTAACAGGTGTATTTATCTATTTATATCTCTTCACCTGAAAAAGTTGCTGGAATCTGAATGTCCATATTGTAACCCGATGTTTTTAATCCCTGTTGCGGCTTCCGTCGACTCCAATCAAGCCATAAAACGTCCTTCTACTTCGGTCCTCTCGAAATTGCTTTATTGCCGTCCGTCTTTACCCTGCTGTTTAGCCGGGGCTTTCACAATAAACATTCCCATGAATATCTGTGCGGTTGGCTTAGAACGTAATTTATGCTCACTTTCATTCAAATCGTATGCATGAATTTGTTGTTGAGATTTTTAAATTTTATTTTGTTGTTTATCCGTCGGTCGTCACATATCCGCGTATTTATTATAGGGAAAAGGCCTTCAGTCGTAAAACCCGAAAACCTCTGCGCATATATTGAAAACACATTTTGTTTAAATTACACGTTTTTGATAAGTACTTATTATTCGGAAATCGTGAGATGCGGTCTGGTGTGATGTAGGTTTCAGAAAAACATTTTCTTTATCGTGCCACGTTCCGATCTTTATTGAGATCATCTTCAGGGCTCAAAGTGTTTGTTTTCTGCGTAAGTGTGCCATTCTTACGTGTCATGTTGTTAAGTACGTATGTTAAATCCAACCTGAGATTTATATTTAAGAAAATCTATTGTTGACACCTTTGGCATAAAAAGGTTACCTATGAAACCTCAAATAATATAAAAGCACTTTTTTTCATTTCCACAGTGCTTAACTTCAGTACTTAACTAGTACTTTAATAAAGTTTCTCTCAAGCATTTGACAGGGCAGCATCGTGGCCTGCTGTGTAAACTTAAGCAGATACTTCTTCACTTATTACAGTACCCCATCTTCAAATCTTACTTATCCGATCGTACTTTTATATAGACCCAAAGTTTCTATATATCTACTATTTATTCTATAAACGCTAGACTTCCTCAAGGAAGTATACTAACACCACTCCTTCCTACCTTCACACTGCTGACCTTCAATATTTCTCTAACCTTGTCATAGCTCTTGGTCGACATCACCACAGCATGGAACCGTGGTTTTACACTTGGACAATTGGAAAATCAAGCTCAATGAAAATAAATCCCACTATCTAATTTCCACCTTAAACTTTACAAAACCTTCCTCTAATCTTCCTCCACAATATAATTATAATCACGACAAACCACGTACGCATACCATAGTTTTCACACAATACTTAAAATTCCAATTATTGCAATTAATTAATCATTCTCTCTTTATTCTAACTCCCAACTCAACCTACCTTTCGAATTGTTTCCCATCCTGATTAAACTACATTTGAAAAATGGCAAAAAGGGGGAAAATTCGAAAGGTAGGTTGAGATGGGGAATTGGTGTCTGAGTGGATCGAAGTCACGATAGCTGAAGTGGTTGGAGCAGAGGCGTGTTGAGTCGAGGGTCGTGGGTTCGAGTCCCGCCCGTGACACTGACTTTTTCATTTCAACCAATACCTTACATGAAAAGATTAATTAATTGAAAGAAGTTATTTCGTCAATCGAATCACGAAATAATGGATTGAAATTATTGTACATTTAAACACATGCACAATTTAAACGAAGAGGTTTGTGCATCGCTGCTCAACTAGTCCCACTGTGTTTATTATGTACATATTTAATTTCTAAAGAAACGACTTCCGTATCGCAAATACGAAATGCGATTGAAACACTTACTACTGTCATACAATATTGTGATAGTATTAATTTGTAATATTACTAACAATTAATGGGAAAACTTAAATTATT